GCCTCTTCTCAGCATGCCGCCTCTTCGTGTTAATTTCATCATCACCATCTTCTTGTTCCTCCTTATGGTGTATTTGGTTGGGAGATTTGAGGAGAGATTTGGAAAGAGAAATGGAAAAGGTAGGTGAAATGTGAATAAAACATATCTATATTTCACCTAGTTTCACAAACATTTTTCCCTTTTCCTTTCCAAATTCCTTCTCAAATCCCCCAACCAAACATAGCGTTAGTAGTCCAACATCGCATGGCGCCGAGAATGAAAATTACACGACTTGCCAGGAAAGAAAATACGACTGCGGAGAGCAAATAAAAGGAATTGGACATCCCTTCTGGGGAGAAGATCGACCTCCGTTCTGCGGCGTTCAAGGTTTTAATCTCACGTGCAAAGGCAATGAAAACACAACCATAGTTATCGAGAAACAGGAATTTCGTGTTCTTCATATCAGTTAATCTGCTTATAGCATGACCATTGCACGAGCCGATCTGTGGGATACTATTTGCCCTGAGAAATTCATTAATACCACTTTGAATTGGAATCTTTTCGATTACGGTTCATATCCATATGTTGTAAATCTCACTTTGGGCTATGATTGCCCCCGTATTTTCGGACCTCCTGATCATCCAGTAGAAGAACGGAGTCATTTTCAATGCCAGGTAGGAGCGGGTGGCCAGAGTAGTAATATTAATTTCTTCGTAAACGAGTCATATGAGTGGATAATTCCGCCAAGAGTGGTGATTCATCCCACTAATTTTTGCACCACTAATAGCTCTAATGAGCTTTAAAAAAAAAAAAAACAAACAAACAAACAAACTTAAGCTAAAACATCACATCACTTTGGTGGGGGTCACTGTGCCACATCATTAGTGATGCTCTAGAGCTCTCAATTTAGTGCTCTAAAACATTATTCTTCCGCCAAATTGTAAGAGCAGAATCAAGGTTCCGGTTTTCCAGCACTGCGTCGCGTGCCATGCCTCTCGACGGGAATGTGGAACTGACACTACAAATCAAGCAATTTGCTTTTTCCAAGGTCTGTATCTCCTTTTCTTTCCCCAACTTTTGCATATTCTAGGCTGACTAGAATATGAATTTTGGTACTAGTTTAAAAATGAAAAAAAAGAAAAAGGTGGTGGATTATGAATGAAATACAATTATATTTCATTTACTTTTTTGATTTCTCTTTTTAAATTTTCACTCAAAAATTAATAATCTAAATAGTGAAAACATAGAAGCTATTGTGAATTGAACATTAGTGCTCAAATCTTATTGACTAAAAAAAATAAGAAGGGTTCATAGAAGGGAAAAATATAGAAACTTGAGTAATATTTTAAACATAGAAAAGTCAATTCTAGTACTCGAACCAATTCTTACGAGAAAAGACAAATACACGATGAAACATAAAATATATTAATTAATATACACTATGTCTGATTCTAAAATGTTCCAAAACCCAATAAAATTCTTGTCCAAATAGTACTCGAAATATCCTACGGATAGCTTTAGTTGATCACATTCCCTTTTACACAAATATAAGACAATTCAAATAGTAGATCAAACAACAGTCTTTGGTCTCCATAGTAGCCAACTTCGTTCTGCTCTGAAGTTTCGTTGATCCATTCATTTTTCATAATTACTCCACCGGCGGCTACTCTGTGTGTGGAATGAAAAAATATCTTTAAGACATTTCATGACTTTTCCCTTTGTCTCATTTCTAACTTGATTAAAATTTTATTTTAGTTTTATTATTTTAATTTAAGTAAATTATACTCTATATATATATATATATATATTTGGCCATTTACTCCTTAAATCTTTTTTTTCCCTATTTTATTTTAATTTTTTTAATTTACTCTTAAAATTAACCTCTATTTAAAGTTGGACAAAAAATGACATGTTAGTTGTCACATGTCTAAAAAATATATTATTATATTGAAGTTTATGCTTGTTTGTGTAATAAAATAGTTTTATGACACAATGTGTCATTTTTGTATAATTTTGAAAATAAATTAGCTTTTGAAGTAAATTGCGAAAAATTTGAAATATGAAGGGTCAAAATGAAAAAATAAAATTTCAAGGGTCAAAGTGAGAAAATAGACAAATATAAAAAGAACAAAGTGTGATTTACCCTTTTAATTTTAACAATATTAATTTTTAACTTTAAGTTAAATTTTAATTTAGAAATTGGACCTCATGCTTTTCTACCGCATATCAATCACATGAGATAGAAAAAAATATGGACAATAATTTGAATGGAATAATCAAATTAAAACTTAACTTAATATTCAAATAAAGATAATAAAGATCAAATTACACAAAAATAGAAAAAATGTAATCTATATTTTATCAAACAAACCTGTGAAGGCTTTTAGTTCGAAATCAAGCTAATTTATGATGCTAGTCTTATCTTACTCTAATCCTACAAACAAATGCACCTATAAAATTTTGTTAGTGTAGAGTAATATGTTATGTCATGTGATGCAACATATGAAGGAATATCTCTTTTGTTTGGGATATTTTGTAATTAGTTGGAAATTTCAATTGGATGGTGGTTTCCATAGACTTCTTCAACTAATAGCATGAGGTAACAAGTTATACTACAGATTTAAAAATTTATATGATCTAAATTTATTTTATATATGAATTTTCTTAATACATTTATTCAATATTTACCACACTTCCAAATTCTAATCACAAATTTGAATGGTAATTATGACTTCCAAACTTACTGGGTCACAATTATAAGAGGTTATTTGGTGTTCTTAAACTATTGTTTCATATTGAAAAACTTTAAAATTCTCGAGATATTGATTCATGATTATGTTTTAATTTTAAATAGTAAATATCAATCTCAATCAAATAATCAATAACAAATCGACTCAACGATTTAATGTGGAAAAAATCATAATTGGAGCGCATCCAATTGTGATAAAAAAACCACGGGCCAAAGTCATAACAATCTACTAAAAAGACAAAAGGAAATTACACATCTGTACCTTTAATTACTTAGCAAATCCACTCCCAAATTGAACTGATCCCGATGTGTCTCTTCCACCACCATCTTCACCTCAGAATTATCTTGCCTAACGTTGAATCCACAACGCTGATGTCGAATCTACGATGATAAGTCACTCCAGAATTCACCAAAACTTCAGGCCCAAGTTTCTCGGAGTCCATCGAAGAACACCTCTCTCTTTTGTGAACGTAACAGTAAAAACAACCCTTGATGAAGTCAATATGAAACTCATAGATTCATTGATCACTCTCAAATCATTCCACACGTTTTCGGTCACCACCATCTTTCCACTTACTAATCATCACACTCTTCATCTAATTTTTTTTTTTGGAAAATGTTTAGGACTCCCTTTGTCACGGCCCACTTTTTTATTTCTCGGATTCCATTACCAAAACCATTATTATAAATTCAATTTCAGAGATAGCATACAGAAGCTCGTTATATTACAAGGAATACATAAATAATAATTCTCTCATTCGAATATAAAATGAATGCAGCAGGAGTATATCCAAATAAATTGCCCGAAGGCTTACATCTAAAAAAAATAGATTAAGGGCTCAACCCTTTTACACAAATGGCATTCCGCACGCAAATAAAAGGCCCCGTGGCCAACAGATAAGGAAGATCCCTGACCTCGAAACACTTCTCCATGTTCTCCTAAAAAAGATTAGCAACGTGGAATGAACATATAGTCCAGTAGGAATCTTAACATGATCCTTAACAATAACAACCTATAGATAGCTATGATCATGAATGCTTACTCTCATACTGTATGAATAATGTGATGGTTTATACAGAAACATACGCATATAAGTACTTTTTATCAAAATCATACATTTCATTCCATAACGTAAGCAATTCACCATTCCTTCTTCTTATTACCTTTTTACCAAGATTTATATGACAGTAACAAATTTCTGAAAGTAAGAGTTTCACCAAAAACCACTACGACAAATTTGAGATTTAAAGACAACAAATTTGTCCCAAAATGTATATATTTCGTCACCCAAACTAATTACGACGAACATTTTTCGTCACCCGTTTTGTCGCCAAAGCGTCGTCGCTAAAGGGTCTCAAAGACGAAAAAACAAATTCGTCATTGAAAATGATAAATTTGTGACGAATTTTTTTGTCTCCAATACACTCTGTTGGGAACATACTTATAAGTAATTAGCGACAAAATATTTTGTCATTAAAGGAAGAAATTAGAGACAAAAGTATTTTGTCATAAATATAAGAAATAGAGACGAAATAATTTTGTCACATTTAATATAAACGAAGACGAAAATCTTTTATCAAAGAAGCTACCAATAGAGACAAAAACAAATTCATCATTAAAAATGATAAATTTGTGACGAATTTTTTTGTTTCCAATACACTCTGTTGGGAACATACTTGTAAGTAATTAGCGACAAAATATTTTGTCATTAACGAAAAAAATTAGAGACAAATGTATTTTATCCTAAATATAAGAAACATAGACGAAATAATTGTCACGTTTAATATAAACGAAGACGAAATTTTTTTGTCAAAGAAGCTACCAATAGAGACAAAAACAAATTCATAATTAAAAATGATGAAATAATGTCAAAAAAAATTCGTCACACATTAAGGGTAATAGTGACAAAATGTGACAATATGTTTTGTCATGACAAATTCATTTAGCGATGAAATAAAAAATTCATGACAAAATTAATCATCCACCTAAGCCAAATAAGAGACGAAAAAACCTGCTTTAGGGATGAAAAATTTTGTCAATAATTCCATAATATTTTTTTCCACATTATATACCTATTTTATCAAAATCTAAATTTTAGTTCAACAAATATAACCCTGTTCATGTTGAAACCTGTTGAATATAACAATTCCATCACAACTTAACCTAACATGTTATCAACACATTTACAAATTAACAAAATGAAAATATCCATTCATCATTACAAATAATTTCATCCTAATACAATAAAATAGTGAAATATCCACAAAATATCCACAAAATATCCAAAAGTTATAACTTGTTCAATTCCACCAAACATCCAACAGTAACTAGTGCAACTCCATAAAGTACGTATCCTTATCAAACAAAAATGAACATTCAAGCAAATTACATCATTGTTGCACGTCAAAAATGCCACACCAATCCAATCTGCAAAAACATAAATTAAAAGCTTTAGTAATTAATCAATTATACAAAAGATTAAAAACATTAATAACTCATCAATTTACAATTAAATCAATTATACAATTTATCCCTCTAACAGACTTTTTTCGAGATTATGAGAACAAAAAATTAATTTTAAGGCTAATTCACAAATGGTGCATCCCATTAATGTGCTGTAAGTTCATACAACTTATATTGGTCCCTCCTAAGGTGTTTCTATTGGTTCCTATACAAATCTGTAGTTGTGTGATAATTTAGCATTTCGACGGCCTTTTTTGAAGCTTTAAGTATAGAGAAAAAATATATTTTTTAGACTAATTCACAATTTATACATCCCGTGCACCCGTACAAATTGGATGTCATGTTCATGTTTTCATTACTTCCTAATTCTTCAAACATATATTCTTTTATAAAATTTGTTATATTAAAGTTAATATACTTTACCAAAAAGTATGTCCCTTAGTTACAGGAATCGTGCAACTAGGTGGCGATTCTGAGTAAGAATCGCGATTCCGCATTTTCTAGAAAGAAACGTGTAAGACTCGCATTTCTGTGGAGAGAGAAATGCGATTCAGTCCAAGATGGGATCGTAAAGGGGGGGAGAGAGAGAGAGAGAAACCCTAGCCTTCGACGTCGACATGAGAGGAGAAAGAAGAAGGATTGTTAAGAGAACTTACAGTGGACCAGTGCTGAGATTAGGGCTTTGATTGTCTTCGTCACTCTCTTCTCTCACTATTGATCACGATCATCTTCGTCTTTGAGGGCTTCGATCATCTTCGTCACTCTCTCAATCGTCTTCGTCTCTCTCCCTCTTTATCTCTCTGTTCGTTGTTCTCTCTCTCTCTCTTTGTCTCTATGTTTAATTGATCATATATAATATATAATATATATATAATTTATCATATAATATATATATATATATATTATACATGATAAAGTCATTTTAAAAAATATGTATAATTTATCATATATAATTTATGTAATAAATTTTATAAATTATAATTTTTATCATATATAATAAACTTTCTAATTGTTATTTCTTAAAATATCATATATAATAATAATTTTTGTAAATTATTATTTCTTAACTTTTTAACATATAATAAATAAAATAAATCATCCAATTATTTAAAATAAATCTAATTAAACCATATATAATAAAAAAAATTATAAAATAAAATATCTAATTTTTCTTTTTATTTATTTTAACATAATTTATTATTCCTTATCTATTATAATTTTTTATTTATAATATATATGAATTAAAAATAAAAAAATAAATTAACAATAATACATTATTTAAAAAATATAATAAATAAATAAAATAATTAATGTATATTAAAATAAAAATATTTATAAAAATA